CTAGTAAGATCCTGTCTCTCCTCACCCCCTTCTTCCTTTCTGGGACTGAACCCAGGGCCTTCTGTTTATACTATATCCCAGCCCTTTTTTATTTTTTTATTTTGAAGCAAGGCCTCACTAAATTGCTAAATTGCCAAAACTGGTCTGGATCCTCCTGCCTCAGCCTCCTAGAATGCTGGGATTATAGGCATGTGCCACCACCTGACCACAGGGCCTGTCTCTTAAAACAAAAAAGTTTTTGGATCTCTTATAAACTTAAACATATGATTATACTGGCCCTAGCTGTTCTACTCCCAAGTAATAAAACTGAATAAAAAACCTGGATATGGATGTTTATAGAGGCCTAATTTATAATCACTCCCACCTGGGGCTGGTGAGATGGCTCAGTGGTCTAAAGCACCTACTTAGAACAAGCTAAGCTAAGAAAAGCACAGGGACCGCGGTTCAATCCCCCAGCACCACATGTCAGCCAGCCCCACCCCCTGGTGGGCTGAGCAGGCCACACACACACACACACACACACACACACACACACACACTAAATAAATAAATAAATATTTAAAAAAAAATCACTCCCACCTGAAAACAACTGAAATGCCTTTTCACTGGTGAGAAGAAAAACAAACTATAGCACATTCATGAAATGAAATGCTGCTCGGCCGCTGGCCTGGTACTGCATGCCTATAATCTCAGCACTTGGGAGGCCGAAGCAATTCAAGGCCAGCCTAGGCAACTTAGCAAGACTTTGTTGCTACATTTAAGAAAGAAGAAAGGAAAAAGTCTGGGAATGGAGCTCAGTGTAAAGACCCTGGGTTCAATTTTCAGCACCACCATTTCCAAGGAAGAAGGAAAAAGAAGAGGAGGAGGAAGAGGAGGAGGAGGGGGAGGAGGAGGAGGAGGAGAAAAGGAGAAGAAAAGGAGGAGGAGGAGGAAGAAGAAGAAGAAGAAGAAGAAGAAGAAGAAGAAGAAGAAGAAGAAGCAGCAGCAGCAGCAGCAGCAGCAGCAGCTAGACTCAAGGCCACTTATTGAAAGATTTCATTTATTTATTTCACATGTATTTTGGGATAGGTCTTTCTATGTAATCCAGGCTGGCTCCACACTCAAGACCCTCTTGCCTCAGCCTCCCCAGTTCTGGGGTTGTAGGCATACGCCCCTACACCTGTCTTAGTTACTTTTCTCTTGTTGTGAGACAGAACGCCCAAGGCCCGAGGCTTCAGGAGGAAAGGTTTATTTAGCTCACAGTGTGTAGAGGTTTCAGTATGACCAGCCGGCTCTAAGGCAAGGCGGCTCCGCAGAGGAGCAACTGTTCCTGGTGGTGGAGGACACCGAAAGCAATAAGCTCAGAAGAGAGAGGACAAGACTCTTTTTGTCCCTCGCAGGTATGCAGGTTACCTGTCCTAGGGCAGATGTAGCCCTCACACCCACAATCCTAGCATTGGACCTTGAATCAACCACAAACTCTAGATTCATCAACCTGTGAATAGATGGTTCCCCCCATGACTGTATGAGGCTTTGGGGGGACAGCCAGACACAAATCATAAAAACCTGGCTTAGGGATTCATTTACTGAGAACTTTATTTATTTATTTGGTATAGGGTCTCACTACACAGCTTGGACTCATAGTGCTCCTCCTGTCTTAGCCTGCCCCGTGCTGGAATTACAGGCGTGCACCACCCTGCCTGGTTTTGGTGGCACCCGCATAGTGCTCCCCGAGTTCCAGGGCCGGCATGTAGTACCAGGGACCAAATGTGGGTCCTTGTGCTTTCCAGGCAGGTGCTTAGACCACTGAGCTATCTCCCCAGCCCATGAGACCCAGTTTTGTCCTGTTGCCTCTCCTGAGCTTAAGCCATCCTCCTGGCTCATAGTCCCAGAGCCTGGCTCCCTCCTCAGGCTCCTTCCCAGGCTTCGGCAGCGCTTCCACGGTGACCAGTTCAAAATAGACCCCAAAGGGAGAAAAACACAAACAAAACCACCACACAGGCAGGCAGCAAAGACATCATCTAATAAACCAACAGATTTTAGGAGAGATAGGAGATGACACTGTAACCATGAAACCGGAGCAGCTAACTCCCTCAGAGAAGGGAGGAAAAAGGAGAGATCACAACAGAAGGGAAAGCTCTGAGAAAGTTTTGTTTTGTTTTGAGACAGGGTCTTGCTCTCTAAGTCAGGCGGGCCTTCAGCTCACCATGTAGCCCAGGCTGGCCTTGAACAGGTGGGCATCTGTGGGTTTTGCATGCTAGGATTCAACCGACCTCTGACTAAAAATATTGAGAAAAGACCCTGCATCTGCAGTGGGCACTACAGACATGGGGGCATTATTCCCCAAACAATTTTTACACATATTTAAATTGTCTTAGGTATTATGAGTCACCTGGGAATAAGTGACTACAGGAGGATGTGTGTATGCTCTAGGCAGATACTCTGATATTTTATATGGAGGATCTGGGCTTCAGCGGCTCGGTGCCTGGGGAGTGGGGCCTGGAACGGAGCCCTTCCAAAGGTGTCATAGAGTGTCTAGAATGGAAATGGGGAGTCTTCACCCAAGCACTAAAAAAAGGAAGGAGAGAGGGAGTTAGGAAACAAGTTCATTGTCTAACAGAAGTCCCGGAAAGAGAGTAGAAAAACTAAAAAGAAGGGGCTGGGAGTGGCGCTCGCTGGTACAGCTGGTGCCTTGCTAGCATGGGAGAGCCCTGGGTTCAAATCCTTAGCAGGAGGAAGGAAGAGAAGCAGAGAGGGAGGAAATGAGAGCGCGACCTGTCAATCACAGAGAGCCATCAACTCACAGCTGAGATGCAAGCGCAGAGCAGCTGCCCAGCTTCCCAAGCCCAGATCTGACGTGAAAAGAAGGACCGATGCCATTGACTTGGTCGCCACTGCCCTCTTGTTCTTGCAGTGGCCCGGGCTGCACGCGGGGCGTGTCTTTACTGTGCTTCTTCAGCACTTTGTCTCCTGCCTTCTTTCTTATTAATCTTAAATACATGCTGCATTCCTATCTGTACCAGTTGTTCCACGCAGTACTCTGATCAGGATGGCGAGAGCCTGGAAAGGATCGCTGGCCACTACACTGTCTCACAGAGGTGGCTGGCTCAGGAGGCTGAGGTAGGAGCGTCGCCATGAGTTCAAGTCCAGCTTGGGCTCCATAGTGAAACCCTGTGTCCCCACACCCTGCCAAAAAAGTAATAAAGAGGCAAAGGATGTCTGAAATGGATGATTGTAGGATATAACTATTTTCAGAAAATTAGAGATCATTGGTTGAAGTAACAAAAATATTTCAAGTAGTGACCGCAAGGGAAGCAATGGTCCATTAGGGGCAGGAGTGTATAGGAGAGAGGCTGAGAGAAGGTTATTTTGGGGGTGCACTGAGGATTGAATCTGGGCTTCTATACAGAGCTACATCTCCAACCCTTTCAAATAAACTTTCTTTCTTTTCCTTCCTTCCTTCCTTCCTTCCTTCCTTCCTTCCTTTCCTTTCTTTCATCTTTTAAAATTCTAAGACAGGGTCTTGCTGATTGCCCTGGCTGGGTTCGAACTTTTCCATCCTGCCTCTGTCCTCCAGAGTCCTGGAAGTGCCCCAGAGAGCTGGTATTACAGGCATGCACCACCAGCCCAACCGACCCTGTTCACTATCAATGTCTTCATGAGACAAACATCTCATTAGCGTCTGAGTCTCCTCCTTGGAGTGTGATTTTCACTGTACTACTAGAGTGAAAGTAACTATAGGTTACTTCAGCAACTACACAAGCCTTATGTCTGGCCTCCTGGAATTTACCCCTTATCATCTGGGAACATTCCTAATTGGGGTCTGTATGTTTTAGGGAGTTGGGAACATGGATACAGGGCCCTGTTACGCAGTTCAGGCTAGTCTTGAACTCTATTTAACTCATACTGGCCATGGTGATCCTCCTGCCTCAGCCTCCCCCATGCTGGATCTTAACCATCTTTTTTCTGCCTAACTCTGCTGACTACATTGTCTTCTCACGTGCTTCCTGTGTTATCTTAGTTTTATAGCCTTGAAGACTGGTTCTTTTTCTAAACTTTCCATTCCTGGTGTGTTTATTAACTCTGTGAAGCTGAGGGCCAGGCCTAGCTATCCCAGCAACACCTGGCTCACATTTAGAACGCTAAGTATGAAGTGTTTCACAATGCGCCCTACTTTAGGACTTCCTGGACCGAAATGGGGAGTCTGCCCCATTACCCCAATGTAATGCAGGCAATACATTGCTTCGCTGTTCCTTAGGGTTCAGATCCCCACATCCTTGCTAGGGATTGAACCCAGGGCCTTGCTCGAGTACTAAGTTGCAGGAATTGTTCCCCTTTGACAGAAAAGAAAACTGGCTCAGAATTTTCCCTTTGGAATCATCTAGGAGCTGGTGCGCTGGTCAGACTGCAAAGGCACAGGGACAACCTCTGGACTGCACGCTGCAGCAGCAGCGTCTGGAGCAGACAACTGGGCTCTGGCGGGCTCTGCGCAGGAGCAGGCCCTGGGTCTGCTTCGCACGCTCGGAAAATCCCTTAGGTATTTATTCCATGACCCAGTCTTTGCCTTGATTAAAAGTAATGGGGGACAGCAGCCACGCCATCCCACACAATCAGAAAGGTGCTTTGAGCTCTCAGTTCCGGACGCGGCAGAAGAAAGCAGCCCACAAGGGAGGAGCCCTACCCCCACCCACCACGTGGAGGGTCCGCCCCGCCCGCCCGCAAACAGGCCAAGGGCCAGTGTCCCCAGCCCGAAGTAGACCCGGCGGCGAAGCCAGCCGTCGCCTTCCCTGGACCCAGACACCCGCGAGGGCTGAATCCCACAGCCAACTTCCCGCGCAGCTCCAGGGTCCGCCCGGAGGGGAGGGGGCGGTGGCTAGGGGCGGGGAAGGGAGGCGTGGCCTCCTTTTTTTCTTTTTTGTCCTCCTAAATAAGTAGCACTTTTCCTATACCTTTAAGAGGCGGGTGCGGGCATCCGATAGGCTGAGTGCTCCAGTGACGTCACGCCGGGGCCGGCGCCCTCCCCTGCCGCGCTGCCGCGAGCCCGCGGATAGTCCGCGCGCGGGCCGGGCCGGGCCGGCGCCCCTCACCCTCGCGCTGCCGAGTCTCCCCGGACCCCGGGGGATGCCCCGGCCAGGGTCTCCTCATGGCCACCGACGTTTTCATGTGCTCCCCTCGCCGGCCCCGCAGCCGGGTCCGCTCGGTGCTGCTCAAGCCGCCGGTGCCGGAGGACGACGACGACTCGGACACAGACGAGCCGTCCCCGCCGCCCGCCTCCGGCTCGGCCCCCGCGGCCCGGGCCCACGCGAGCGCCGCGCTGCTGCCGCCCCGGACCGGCTCGGGCCGTGAGGAGCCTCCGCGCCGCCAGCAGATCATCCACAGCGGCCACTTCATGGTGTCGTCGCCGCACCGCGAGCACCCGCCCAAGAAGGGCTACGATTTCGACACGGTCAACAAGCAGACGTGCCAGACCTACAGCTTCGGCAAGACCAGCTCCTGCCACCTGTCCATCGACGCCTCGCTCACCAAGCTCTTCGAGTGCATGACCCTGGCCTACAGGTAGGAACCGGCCGGACCGCGTCCCAACGGGGGTCTCCCTTTGACACAACGGAGGGTTGGGCCGCCGAGACCCCCGGGCTTCGCGCGGTCGGTGGCGAGGCAGTGTGGGTCGGGGTCCCCAGATGCGAGAGGCGCCGCCGCCCTGGCCTGTCTCCTGGAGCTGAGCTTTGCTTCTTCCGGTTTCTCGCTCCCCATCCAGGGACTGCCCCCTGGGGGTTGGGGGCCACAGATCTGCGACAAGAAAAGGGTGCTAATATGGCTGCACCTTGTGTTACTCGGCGCTGTCTGCCCGTTCCCCAAGTGTGCAGTACCCAGCGGTGGGTAAGACCACCTGCCCAGACCGTCTGTGGCCCTGTCTCCATTATTTCATGATTGTGTAACATCTTGGAGCCTGCTTCCTCCTTTAGGGAGAATGACAGTAGTCTCTGCCTCCAGGGGGCTCTTGTGGGGATGGACTGAGATAGGTAGAAGGCTTATTTTAGTGCCTGGCAGAGAGTTAGGTGCTCCATAATTGTTAGCTACTTTTCTTTCTCCTTACTGTGAATGGAACCCATGACTTTCCCACAGAGCCACCCCTTCTTAAGTTGCATTTTTAACTTGGAGACACTATCTCGCTAAATTGCTACATTTGGGCTGGAACTTTCTGGCTGGGCTGGAACTGGCAGCCTTGCTTTAGCCTCCCACGGTGCAGGGATTAAAATGTTAGCTACTTTTCACATTGTACCTTGTGCCAAGAGACTGGAGCTCCCCACAACCCACTTATTGGAAGGCCCTGAGGTAGGGTAGTGGGGCTCTTGGAGGGATTTCTGGCTGCCCTGAAACGTTATATAAGGAACATGGCAGTGTCCAGGACAGACATCCCAGATACTGTCCTAATACTTTAGTGGAGTTCTGGGTTCTGACATGAGAGGTGTTCTCCCCCCGCCCCCCCTTACTATTTTTATATTTTTGAGACAAGCTCTTCTTCTTCTATAGTCTAGGCAGGCCTTGAACTCCCTGTGTGGCCCAGGCTGGCCTTCACCTCCTGGTGATCTTCCTGCCTCAGCCTCCTGGATGCTGGGATTACAGGCATGTATGCTGTGCCAAGACCCCTTTTTTTTCTAAGTAGCAGAAATCCCTGGCCTTGAGGTTAAGCTTCTCTGTGCTCTCTCCCTTCCCCAGGGATATGTGAGGTATTTGCTTCAGGTGACTTTTCCCTCAGCCCTAAAGTTGTTTGGACTGGCTGCAGTGGCCTGAAAGTCCAGCCCTCAGAGAGCTGGTGATGAGGTCCCTGCTGAGTGGGGCTTCTTGCATTAGTATCCTTGAAACCCTAACTACTGAGCTCTGATTTTGGGGCAGCCCAGGAAGTGTCCTGGGAGATTCCAGCTGCAGTCTAAAGAACAGTAGGAATATTCCCCTGGCCCCTTTTTGGGAGAGTAGTGAGGTGCTCATTTAAATCCAAGTTAAAACATTATACCTTTATCTGGATTTAAAAGACTGGCTACTTGGTTCTGGATGGCATTCTGCCCTGTGGAATAAATGATCAGTCAACGTGTTCCTTTGTTATGTTCCTGAAGTGCGCCCCTCACCCATTTCCCCTTTTGAAGTCTGCCCTCACGACAGCCCTGGAGCTATTCCTCCTGCGTCCCTGACGTGGCACGTTGGGCAGTCTCCACCCTGGTTCTCAGGTCCTGCCAGTCCAAGCTGGCATCAAGCCTGTGAAGATGTTCGGATTTTAAAAAGACAAATGGCACTGAGGTTGCAGCCTGGGCGCCCTTCAGTCTTGGATTGTGAGCACTTGCTTTGGCATCAGGCTGCACTAGATTGTAGCATAAACTCTGCTGTGAAAAAGCCTTTCAAACACAACTAGAGGGGAAAGACAGGAATGTGCTTGATTAAGAGAACTTAATCCTCTTCTTTAATATAAACTTCTGCATGGGGGGGCATCGAATGCTGGAGTCTCCGGAGTTGCAGGCTAGAAAACTCTCACCTAAGTAAGCTCTGCTAAAGGAAAAATAAACCAAGCTCTCCTTTGCCTTTCGTTTGGGTAACCTAAAGGCCTGTTGAGTCCACCAGGGAATTTTCTTAATGACTTTTTTTGTTGCCATTTCTTTAAAAAATGTTTTGGCAACGGTCCATTGCTCAGACAACTTTCTTGATTGCAAAATGCACCACTAGTTTGGTGCGAGCTTACCTGGCTGTTGGCCTCCCTGTGGCCTGTGTTGCTTTTATTGCTGCCCCTTCTCCCGAGGGTTTGCTGCCACCTACCTTTACCACTGAAGGCCCCTTCTAGTGAGGTCTCACTGAGATGCTTTGTCTCTGTGTGAGGCTGAGTTGGCCTTGCCTGAGTTTTGCTGGCAGTAGGGAATCTGTACAGACTGACAGCTGGAGAAAAGTGTTTGAACTCACGACCACGCGCTGGCTTTTGGAGAAGTCAGGTTGGGTGCTGTGGGAGAAAGACCAGCCTGAGAACCCGGCTGACTTCCCACTCTGCCTGGTGAGAGCCTTCGCCACTGCCCTGCCTGGGGCTCCTGCTCGTGCTGAGAGCAAGGCCAACTGGTCTCCTCCTCTGTGTGACGGTTTCTGGCCTTGGTCCTTTCTAACTTCAGCTTCCTGTCCCCTGGCCTCTTGGTTTTGGCTGCTTAACCCTCCCTGGTACACTCTGCGCTGCCTTTTTTTTTTTTTTTTCCGATTTGGTTTGGTTTGGTTTCCTGTTAACTGCTGCCTCTCAGCTGTTTCCAGATGAGGTTCAACAGCTCTTGGGGGAGGAACCAAGTGCAGAGGAAGTTGTGGTTATTTTTTACCCAGGCTGGAGAATTGGAATCAAGATCCTGAACATGGGCTATTCCAGAATATGCAGAGGCTTTCATTCCTGCCTGGACTGGGGGCCCAGGTGTCTGGGGACTGTGCTCAGCAGTCTGTCTGGGAGGTTCCTGTGCAGGTGGGGTTCCACTGGAGTCCGTCTGTGGGCCAAATGTACTCAAGCATAGCGGCCTGCAGGGAGGAGCTTGTCTTTCCCAAGGCGAACTGTGGCTGTGGCAGTGTGTGAGGGGATGAGCAGCCTGTGGCTTAGCTTTCCTGCCCTCCTGCTGTCTGCTACTTCCTGGTGGGTGACTGAGATGCCCCTTGCCCCTTTGGGTGGAAGCACGGATTAGCTGAGCTCATGTCTGTGAGTGTCTGTAGTCCCTGGCACAGTACACGCAACAGGAGGTCTCTCCGACTAAGTGTCTCAGGGGAGGATGGTGGAATTTTAATCCTGCATCCTTGTTTAGTTGACAGTGGCCAGGGTCCCAGGTTTCCCATCTGTAACCTGAAAATTATGCCTGCGCCTCCCTACCTGCTGGGTTCTTTTATTGGGCGCAGCTCTCAGCTGCCTGTCTGAACCATGCTAGTAGGAGCACTGTTGACCTGCCTGGTCCTTCCAAGGCCTGCATTGGAGCTGTGCACTGTGGAACGGTTCACGGTGCCCGCCCTCTCAGCATTTTAAGGAATGTCACACATGTACACCTCCCACCTAGATTCTGAGCACATCTCATGTGGAGCTTTCTGTGACTGAGTTTGGTTTCAATTCTCTCCTTTTATTAATCCCTTGTCTGGGAGGTGCAGTGTGAATGTTCCAGAGGGTAGAAGGAGAAGGGAGTTTTCTGGAAGTGGCTTTCCGCCTGAGAGGATGTTTGAGGAGACTTCAGTGAGGAGCTGCAGGTAGCCTGGGGTATGAGTGTCCGGGTGTGACCCCCACATGTGTTCCCTGTGCGCTAGCTGTCTGTCGGTGCCTCCGGGTCAGAGGCTGTACAGACAGACATGAGGGATAGCAAAGCCCACAGGCTTGGAGCACTGTTCCCTTCACATTCTAAGTTTTCTCTAGAGGAACCTTCTGATGATGGGTGTGGTAACTCATTGTAAACTCATTGTATGTCCTCGTTCATACAAGGGACTAGGTGTACTCTTTGACTCCCATACCAAAGATAAACTGTTGTTCTTCACTTACCCTCTTGCTAGTTGTTAATGGTGGGATAGTGTGCCCGTTGGCGAGTATCAGTTCTCGAGCCCAGCCTGTACAACTTAGTGAGACCCTGTCTCAAAAAATAAAAAGTCCTGGAGGTGCAGTTCAGTCCAGAGGTCTCCAGTTCAGTCAACAGCACCAGTGTTTGTCTTCTCCCCTGTGGTTGTCTAGGACCAAACTTCCATTTTACACCTGAGCTGACTGGTTAGCTGCCTGCCAGGTAAAAGGGCGAGGAAGTGTTGGCAGAACGGGAGCGTCTGGGCGAGGAGGATAGGGAAAGGCTGCCAGGGTGAAAGGAGAGTCGCACCAACCGAGCAGCGGTGCTGAGCGTACGGCACCTGTGTCGCTGTGTTTTTAAGACAAAAAATGTTGACGCAGGGGTTTTTTGTAAACTAAAACCTCAGTCTTCAGGTCTGATTGCAGTGTTGGCAGTTTGTGTTAAATAAGTGGGTTTTGGGCTGCAGTTTCGCACTCAGTCTCTCAAAGGTTCTCCGTCAGTGCTGTAGATTCTTTGACCGTAAGCAGCTCCCACAATAACACTCCAGGGTGGAGGTGGTGGAATACTTGGTTTTTAGATTAAGGAAAGCAAACATGAGCTCAGAAGGTAATTTGCTATGTCTCTGAGGTTGGCCACTTTTCCGAGAAGTCTCTTGTGCTCAACAGCCACCTCCCTCGTCTTCTCCCAGCAGCCTCACCGTGTGCTAGGAAGCCACCTGTCAGTACCTCCACTCCTGGGGAAAGAGAAGGCCTTGGGCAGCTGTGGCTCCCCTTGCCCTCCCCTGGGGACATCCTGCTACCCTTAAGTCCGGCTCTCAAGCACGTGCTGCTCTCACCCTCCTGAGTGAGTGCACCTCGCATCCCCCTGCACGGCACAGCCTCATCTGACTGGGCCCTGTGTGGTGTCTGACTCACCTGCTGCACTCACTTGTGACCTTCCTAGGAGCCCCACAGTGACACAGAGAAACTGAGTGTTAAGGAATATTTGAGGTGTGATCAAATGTATGTGACACTTAAACTT